CGAGTTAAAGGCGTTGGATGTCTATTGACACCGCCACGATGATCCGCCCTCTCGTATCTCTCTCATCTCGTATAAATAAAATAGTTAATATTATTTACTTTGTACTAGGCAAATTTATTTTTTGCTTTTTAGTTTACTTTTTCAAGTAGTCGGTTTTGTTTTGTATGATTTCGTTTTCGTTTTATAAGATTAGAATTTTACAATATACCAATTTGACCTGGCATGAAAATACGCTCTGTTACCAAATTTATTATGCTGCTGTTAGTCCTGTCAGTGACACACGAATGCAGGCGACGATTTCATGTTGATAATATTATCATAGACACTACAATGGTTTAGCATGGCTTCTACATCACACAGCTTAGTAAAAATAGCCGTGCAATAATGTTTATTGATTTTTTATTGTTTGTTTGTTTTTTCCTTTAACGGGACTACAGGGTCCCGGACATTCGGAATACCATCAGCCGGCAATTATCCCTGTATGCACTATAGAAGTGGACCCAAGGACAATCCCCGGCTGATGCAGGACTATTGTGCAAAATGGTAAAAGATTATATGGTTATGGGTGTGGGTGGCTATGGTATGGTATACTGATAGATGATAACAATAGAAATATTATGGCCCCTGTCCCTGACTGACCAATATTGATACATACGTATAGACAGGCAGGGGGTGACTGGCAAACCCAATTAATGAGCCCCCGTAAACGGCCGCTAGCTAGCATGTAACGACACGGAGGCAATATACTTTGAGCTGCTTGGGGAAGCAGAGGCATCTCACGGCTATCAGCTATCAGAGCAATCCCGGAAGTACGGTCAAGACCCCTACCAGCATCTTACTGAGATACATTCTTCCCCCGAGTCTCCTTCAACCCCTACTCTTGTTAATCTTCACTCAACCCAGCCAATTAAGGCAAGAATGAGGTAGGAGGGCTTGTTCCTCATCAGTGTACACACCAGCTAGCCACGAGGACTAACCGGAACTGAAAAACAAGACACCTCCCGGGGAGTCAGGTCCGTGGGGTCCGTGGCCACAAGCTGCGTTGCGGTTACATTTAATATTATTATTATACCTATATCTTTATGGTACAATTATGTTATCAAAGTATAAAGATTCTCTTTATACTATGATGTTATCCTGGTAACAGGCGCAATTACGCGTAATTTTTTTTTGCGTAAATTTCAAGTATATTATTATAAACACGGACCAGGACCGTTTTTTGTGTTTCGTGCTTATATCTAATTCTATAATAGAAGAACGTATAAGTGTGATGTAAAAACTTGCGAATGCTAAAAATGTTTGTTTGAACGCATCCTAAATTGTAACTTGTACCTATGTCAAACGAATGATTCACGCTACGCGCCCTGTGGGTGAGATAATTATTTTTCCATGTAAAGTAGGTCAGATTGTCAACCATTTGCTTTTTAACATAAACACAAGTATTTAGAATAGATAAGTAATCGTTTCCAATGTCAGTGTCCTGTATAACAGTCTATTGGAAAAATGTTGAAGAGGTTAATTGACGAAGTATTTTGTTTTGTGAACCTTTGTCTACAGGTTGTTTAATTTTTATTTATTTATCGTTCCTTTAGTAACTGACTGTAATCTTCCAAATATTGTATAAATTAAGCAATAGGTTCCTAATAAAGAATATGTTTCTATTATCTTTGAGTTTTATAATTATAGAGTTCCGTAGCCCAATGACTAAAATGGAATTCTTCTAAAGGAATTTTTTTTAACCTCGCTCGACCACGCTCGTGACTACTACTACGTACTAAGTACACTTATTTATATTAAATGTAATTTTTATTTCAGACCAGGAGATACATACATAAGTGTTTTTAATTTTTCATCATTATTAGGCAGAAAACACAACTTAATATTTTAATATTTATCAATTGACAAGGATATCAGGACGCATATGTCTACCTGCCCAGTGTAGCATACTATTAGGATTGTCCCTCAATCGACATTCAATTTATTCAATTCAATTTATATTATCTACTAGATATGGAATGCTTTACCAATGTTATACTTACGTATGCTGCAGGGGTTCATAGGTTACAATAATAACAAAGAAACAATGGTACCCCAAACAACGCAATATATAAAAAAGTAGTTATTTCATGGAACTTGCAAGCATGTGCCCATAAAATAATAATTATCCTATATTTTATACGTGGTTAAAGTTTGTGAGAATGTATGTTTCTTATTTTTTCACGCAAAAACGGCTGGACTGAACCGATATGGTTGAAATTTTGTATGTAGATACATGATACCCTGGAATAAAATTCTTTTTATCCCGATCAACAGGGGCGAAACCGTATAAGTAACGATATTTATCGTAAAATGAAGCATGAACAGACGAAGCATAAGTTGGCTGACTTTTAAAGAAAACGCTGCCGAAACTCTTTATGATATAACAAAATGATGTATGGTGTCAAGTCAAAATTATTAATTCCAACTAAACCATAAATAGGTACTTTAAAACGTCAAAATAGAACATCTAAGTCTGTCAGTCTGTTCGTCAGTGAACCTAGGTGCTCGTTCCAAAGTGTAAGTTCGAATTAAGAAGAACGAACAAGAAACACTGTCGTTAGCTTAATGTAATTGTGTAGGTATTTTATAAACAGAAAAGTCCGCGATACCATAATGACTATCTCTTAAGGGTAATATTTAATAAATACCTTGCCAATTAGGCGATTATAAAGCGCTAACTTGCAAAGTTATTTACACAACGGCATGATCACATTATGAAGGTACTTACCTCATGCAAATTAAATAAATACTTTAACAGATAAAGCAAAATCAAATTAACGCGCAATAAAATTAATTTAGTGTCGCCCGTGACCAAGCTGGCCCGGGCAGGTGGGAGTCTATCATCACTGAGTGTGCGACCCTAACACGGACAGACACACGAATTCTTCTAAGCTAAATTCTTTCCTTTATTAGTTATTAGTGAATATAGGTTTATACAATAAGGGAGGACTGGCTAGAGAGACGCTATGACGTCCCCACCTTCCGCCTGACGCAGGTGCTTGTCGGTCGCGGAAGCTTCGGTAGATTCCTGTTTCGAATTCTTATCAATCGATCGGATTAGTCGAGGCCACGGTGCGGAACGAGAGGAACTGGGAAGCCATCTCCTCTTTTTGCGAAGCAGTGATGATCGCAAAGAAAGAGGCGGAGCGCGTGAGGGAACTATCATAGGAGCAGGCGTTATTCCGAGCATCTGGCATCGAATGACGATTTCCAGCCACCGCGGCACTGTAAGCGCGGGTCTGCGAGCAAGAGTCATCGCCCGACCAGATGGTGGGTGACCACAGCACTGACTGCACTGAGTAAACAGACCACCACAGGTGGAATGTTTAGCCGGTAACATGTAGGGCCGATGTTTATCCGGGTTGTGGGTCCAGTGCAGTAAGATACCGTGGTCTCGCCCTAGAGCAGACGAAGAATACTTTTATCCAGGTGCCAAAAACGATACTTTTCTATGAAATTTGTATCATGAAACACTTGAGTTATGACGTCATAGTATTTTTGCGACAAATTGCGTACTTTTTTTTATTAGCTATAATATATCTAAAATTCAGTGTATCGATCGATGAATAAAAGTATACTTATTTTTTATATTTTATTGTATTGAACGTCGAATTAATTTATTTATTACCCAGGAAACTACCCAATTGGGGAGGTTTTTAGTCAGTAAGGAACTCCCTCCTTATCTTATTCTAATAACCTATGGATGGACGGACAGCGAAGACTAAGTAAGTAATAGGGTTCTTACCTTTGGCTGCTTTTTATCAACACAGCAAGCGAGCGAAGCCGCGGGCGGAAGCTAGTTTGTTTATAAGTTTTGTAATATAATATTTTAAATTGCAAGAGGTTCAATTGAAAATAGAAAACGTCCTGTAGCAAATTTATTCTCGTCCGTTATCGCTGGTCAATGCGGGTGCCGTTAATGTGGCTTCATCGGAAACTATATTAACTTCAACCACACAACTTTCGGCAGTATCCAACCTTCTATTATCCACAATGCGTCGCTTTTCCGCCGTGGTACTTTTGGTAGTCCTTACACAAGTAATAACTGCTACTGTTATTGACATTGACAAATCGAATGATGCTGAAGTAACTGGTGACAGTTGTTCCGTCTCTTGTCCAATTTAATTCGTTGCCTGAACCGAAAAAATGCGCAGAACTGGGGGAGCCTGTGAGTATAAAGTATCGATAAAACAGGTGACGATTGTAGGTATTACTTTCCTCAATAATAAACATGCCTTTGCTTTAAATTTACTTTTGCCGTTATGAAAGATAAATAGGTAAATCAGTAGATCCGATAGTGTCTGGATGACACAGTAGATATAGTCTAAACAAACAAAGGAAGACCGGACATGTTTGTATTTATATTTAGCCCTGTAATGGCAGATGATTAATATATTTTTCTTTTTCAGTGTATCTATCACAATGACTGCTGTTCACGTGCCTGCCTGGGTTTTGCCAAGAGATGTGTGACTTGATACCAATAGTATAAATATTCTTTGTTTAGCTTTCAAAATGCTGTATTTATTAAATGTTTTTGTAGTGTTCAAAACAATTGCCTCTGTTATTTATTTTATCGTGTAGGTACTTAACATATTTATAATAAAATAAATAATTTAAAGTATTAATTCTGTACCTACCTAAGTTTGTTTTTATATAATCCTTTTAGGTGGGTTTCGTTATTCTGAATACGCTGAACCCTTTAAAACATAAACCGTAAAGTAACCTCAATATCCGTTAAACTTGTTCCACACAAAAAGGCCATGGAATCCGACTTAGGTACCTAAACAGGAATTCCGATCGAAAACAGAATGTTTTGTTGATAACACTATGATTTTCCCTTTATCGTGTGTGCATGTGTTACATACCTACTTAGATACATATTTACAAATTCACATACAATGATATTTTAGTAATAGTTTATTAGAATATCATTGTTCACATACATACCGGTCACACCCAGACACGGATTAATCAGAATAACAATATCTACCAACAAATAGTTTAATAGGTAGGTACGCAAACGAGTAAGATACATTTCGAGTTCGTTAATCTGGTTTCTTTCCATTCAATATTTTAACATTCACCCAGTTTGGATAGGTACTTACTTACAAAAAACAAAACAAAAACAAGTCGAATACCTAGTTGTTTTTGTTTTTGCATATACCAGTAACTACACTATGTATTTAGAAAGAATAACAAGTAGGTAAATGGATACTCAAAATGAAATAAGCGATAAAACACGCCATACACAAAAACAACGTCCTGTAAACGATGTTTACGACACGTCCGTTATCGGAATCCATGCGGGTGCCGTTAATGCGAATGTCAGGTGACCCTATATCAGCACCCGAACACACAGCTCCGTTAGTATCGTCCTGCATCTAAGCACAATGTGTCGCCTCACGCCCATACTTTTGTTCCTCGCTGTGTCTACTTACGTGACCTGCAGTTTGATCACTGATCGAGTCACGAAGGATATTCCTCTCCCTGATGCAGAATTAGAAGAGAACAATGCACCAGAAGCAACGCCAATTGAAGTGCCACAACCAAACAGTGTCACTGAGAGTGCTGGATGTGCTAAGATTGGAGAATTCGTAAGTTTTAAAAATAACTTTCTTTGTTTTGTTTATGTTGAGTATCGTGAGTGAGATGTGCCAACAATGAGAGAAGCGAATAAGGAAAAACTGTTGAATAGCCTTTATCATGATAATTTATTAACTATGACGGTATGAATGCTTCATCGGGACAAAATTAAGATGGGTAAACAGACCTTGAAAATTTGCGGCTTTTAATAATTTATACACACAACACAAACAATACACTTGCATCTTTATAGTGCTTGCATTGTCCTTGCATAGCATCGGTGCCAACAAAAAAAGCTAAGTAGTATGTTAGTACTATATTGTGTGTACATGTGGGTATATTTACATTAGGTATATTAAATAGTACTTATTTGTGTAGGTAAATATAGTCTTATGTTTTTGTAAGTGGATAAGAATTTTGCAGTTTGTTTATAATATCCTCTTATTATATATATTGTACCTATCAATAACCTCACAGGTGAATCAATAAGTCAATCCGGTAACTGCATCTGCACTGCAAATTTTAAGTTCTTTCCTTGATCTATGCTTGATAATGATAACAAATCTAGGTTTTCATCTACGTGTTTGCTTTTGCAGTGTATCAATCACAAGGATTGCTGCACCAACGCCTGCCTTGGTTATATGAAGAGATGTGTGTCGGCGCGAGAAGTGGAAGAGGAAGAGCAGTTAAGCTAATTTTCGTAATATCTAAGAACCATCGAGGATAAGATCTTGTTTTTATACTTATTTAATTTCCCAAATATGATATCAAAGTGTGTTAATAAATAACTAAATAACGATATTTATTTACTTAAACAGTGATGTTTTTTTACCGAATTCCTAAGTAGTCGGACAAGTCTTAGTCTTCGTGGTAGCCGTAGCTGACCGCTCGCGCTGGCCCATTCTTTTCTAAGGTCGGATTAGTGAGTTTATTATTAGCTTCAACACGAAGTCGATGATAAACATTATCAATGTACTACTTTTGTTTTTACGTGTATTGTTTTAAAACTCAATCATGTTTTTTGCACCAATCGCCGTCTGTTGAGACTAACTAGAACTAGTGTACGATACTACGTTTCTTAGACAATTTTGTTTTACAGGTGTTATTAATACACAAGACAGTTATAACTTAGCAATTTTTATATTAATTATATATATAAGGCAAGAAAAATTTGCGATATATAAAAAAAATCCAAGATTTTACATAAAAATGCACTTCAATCTTACAATATGTATGTAGTTGAAATGAGCGCCATCTCTTAGAAAATCACAAAAGTATTTAAGAAAATAGTTCCATTCAGTTCTCTATTCAGCTTTTCTCGCAGGGTGTAAGGGGTGGTTTAAGTGTGATAGGTCTGGTGGATTTTCTACACATTTCCTCATCAAGCTCATACCCTCAGCGGTGATACTCCATAATTTGGGCTGATTCTTCTTGAAGTCATTGTACCATTTTGTTATCTGTAAAGAAAATTATATACGTATTTAGTAAATAGGATCATTCCCAGTCTAGCCCCCAATGGTCGTAATTTAAGATGATGCGCAAAATTAAAGTTGCAGACTAGAAGAAAAGAAGCATTATTTTATCCTATTCATATGATAAATCCTACTAATTAATACAGATTACAATTGTGAAAGTTTGTTACTCTTTCACGCAAAAAAGGTCAGACCAATTTGGTTGAAATTTGGTATGTATATAGATAGGTGGATTAACACATAGGCCAGCTTTTTATCAACATACCAAGCGGGCGCAGACGCAGTCGGTAGCTTGTACACAATTACCGAAAAAGCGTGTTAAAAAAGTTTACTTACCCTTTTGTACTTGGAAAAGTCGAAATCAGTAACTTCCATAGCCATAGTGGCGTTGATGAGAGGGAAGTCAGCAATGGTGAGGTGGTTGGCAGCTGCGTAGCTGGTACCCTCGCGCTCCAGGTACGTCTCGAACAAGTCTAAGGCACGGTGCACACGCTTCAAGCCTTCGGGAGTGCGTTCGTATTTAAAATAGATCGGCATAATCTGTCGAGAGAAAATTAATTTTTGAACTAATTAAAGTTAACTAACGAGGTGCTTGTTTTCGCAGGGTAAACGTGTATATTCCTATAACGTGATATATTATATGAACTAACTACCTAATTACTCAAGTCCATACCCTGTTTTATGTGATTTATACCTGATAGCAAGCAATCAGCGCCGCCCGGAGAAGTTGCAAGTGTGTTACCGACCTTTTGGGGATAAGATAAGGGCATTCGGGATTCGATTCCCACGGAACCACTCTATGTGTGATCTACAAATAGTTGTCCCGGGTCTGAGTGTGACGTAGGTATAGGTGAAATTTTAAGTTTGTAATGCACCCATGATACAGGTGAACATCTAAAATCATGCCGAATCACATCTTCCACACTTTAATGATCGAACACTCCTCGTACCATTTCGACTGCTGTGCCTTGCGTAAGATAGCAAAAAATGACTCGAATAACATCGGAAACCTCAATCTCAACAATTATACTAAATTGTATGGATAGGTAATTAATTAGGTATCTTATCACTTGTTGGATCGTAATTTTAAACAATGCTTCTTTGCCTTAAACACATTTCTCATTTAAATATCTATTTTAACTTAGTAGTTAGCTTGGGTAGAGACTTACAAAATAGTTTAACAGCTCAGCGTAGTATGTGCTCGAGGTGAACATCAAACGTTGGTTGATAATGGCCCTGGAATTTACAATGTTTAAAATGTTAACGGAAAAACAGAAATTTAAAACCATTTCAACATTATACATATTTTCAGAGATGTTTAAAAGCTATATTATTATTATAGGTATCACCTTGCTTTTGGATCAGTCGGGTACAACGAGTTGTTGGGTTTAAATTTGTCGCAGATGTACTGCATCATAGCGACACTCTCGTTTAGGAAGAACCCATCATCTTCCAACACTGGTAGTTCCTTTTGTGGGTTTTTCTGAAAATTGAAGTCACTTATATTTATCTAAATACGTCGACGATCCTACCCTGTTGTTGGATATGAATATGTATTGTTGCAAATTGTGTAACAGTACCTGGTTGTAGGCGCTACTCGTATAACATTCGTATCTAGGTCGTTAGGCTTAGTCTCGCTACGATACCAGATAATATTACATCTATAAGTGGGTACCTAGGTACACAGATTTCAAGTCTTAGTGTGGGTACTGCTTAGTATAGTTGATTTGGAAAATAAGCATCCTACGTACATACATAAGATTGCTTTTTTTAATTTATAAAGTTCTACGGCTGTTATTTGTAATTCTGTTATTTTAGATTGAGTAGGTCCTTAATCAGAATAGTTAAACATTTCCTGATTATTCAACAAAGGCGACACAAAAATATTCTGCACAAGCCAACCTCGATTCAATGTCAATGTTTTTATAACTTCAATCTAAGCAAGTGCCTATGGATTACAATTTGGACAGCAAGGTCGTTATTGTGTTTTCGGGCTTGCGAGCATCGTGTATCTAGGTACAGTACTTTGTAGGAATGCAAATTGGCGAGCCTCGTATAGGTAGATGAATACAGCTTCATTTATCATTTAGAGAGACAACATTTTGTTTATTCACCCGAGGGATATATCTCACTATTATCTAAATAGGTACCTACTTATCATTCCCTCTTATCACTGTGTAAACTGTTATGAAATATTTCACATTATCCAATCGTCTTATACAAAAGTGACTTGCAGAAAAAATGACACTTTAAAAAAGTGTTATAACTTTTTCGTCGATAACACATTCCATACGAAATTGAATGACAAAATAAACAGTTTAATGTCAAACATACAATAGGCTATTATTCTCCAAAACTTGAAAGTTATGATAGAGCAATACTCCGATCCCTAAACACCTTGATAATTATTATGAAAACCCCACCTTCAAAGGGAGGTGTTTAGCTGTAACTGTAGTTTGGCTAATGCTATGATGCAGAAAGTTTTAATATCGCAGTTTTCTGCCAGTGCTAAAGCATTCACCTTTGCAAATTCCTCAGTCATGTGCTCGCCGTTGTAAAAGCTAACGTTGACGAGCTCGAAGGGTACCCCCAGCGCCTCCAGGGTTTGCCTGCATGAGAGGGAGGGTGGGCCATCCTCCAAGTAGTACAGCTTTAGAACCATTGTGCTGAAATAAATTATTATAAAACTTGTTTTCAATATCCTTAAAGAAAGTAGATAATTTTTTATATTGATCAATAAAATTTCTATGTGTATAAAGATTGAGATGTACCTACAATTAGCAATTATCTAAATATCCTGCCAGATCAATATTCATCTGTCTATAAACAGTGAAGGGGCAAACTAGAGGTATCCGGTTGGAGTTCAAATTGACATCAAGGACAAATTGCGTACGTTAGCATTAAGCTGCAAAACCTAGGTACGTCGAGTTTTGATTCTTATTACATTGAAATACGGTATCCTACATAGCATTAATAAAAGTAAGTACTCTGTTGGAAGTTCTCAAATGACTGGACAAACATTACAGGCTAAAATATTTCCTATTATGTGTCCATATTTCTACCATACCATAAGAAATTAGACTTCCGTAAGTAACACGTAGGTAATTTAACTGCAGTTTGTATTATTCAAATATACTCACAAAAGTTAAGAACGACTAATATTTTTATTATTAATGATTACCTGCAATCCATTAGGTACGTACTTGTGACACATGATTGGAGTGATTAGGTACCACACCATTAATACACCACTCACGACGTTATCCGCTTAGCTTAGCTAATTTATTAGCTTAGCCTCAACGAGCTAAAGCTACTCAAGAAAAAAACATAAAATTTAATTTGTTTATTAAAAACTTATCAATGAGAACACTTTAGTACTAGGGGTTAAGGTACTAAGTATGTCAATACCGATACTCCTAACTAACACTCTTAAGATAAGTAGAGAGAGAGAAAGAGAGAGGGACTACCTTGTTCTACTACTACAATTTTCTTACGAAAACAATAAAAATTTATAGTTAATTACTTAATCAAATATATGTTATAAACCTAAACTAATAATTAAAGTTTATAATTATTAAAAGCGCACATACCAGTTCTGTCAGTAGGTACAGTGGAACCTGTGCGGCGTTTGACACACAAATGAATTGAACGCTTGTGGGAGGGTCGAGAGTCGCAAGACAAAACACAGTCTTTCACTTGTTATGTATTCAATGTTGCTAAAGTGATATATTGCTAGCGGTTAGAAACACTAGCCTACGCGACCTATCTTACTGCGACAACGGCATTAGCTTATCCAATTTTATATACCTGATGGACTCCTGAGTGCTTAAAAACTGATACTGAGAAGCTGGATGTTAAAATTTTAAATCAGACCATACAGAAATTTTGTCTACTTATGTTTATTTTTAAATTTTTTGTCGATAAGATTAGCTTCCCACTGACAATTATATCTACGCTCGGTACAATAATTTGCCGTCATAGTATTGATAACAATTTATTGTGGATTAAGATTTACATACTTACTTAAGGGGCAGCGACACTAACAAATATATTTTACTCATTATTTTTAATCATTCCATCAATAATTTGAATATATTTACTAAAAAATATCTGCATTGTACCTGTTGTAAGTAATTCAGCTTACAATGTGTAAGTAATTAAAGTTAATAAATTAACCAAATAATCTATGAAAATAACCATCTCAATAAAAATAGAGGTTTACATTTTGGAGGGCCCACCTCCTTAAGAATGATCGTGGTCGTGAACAGAAGAGAAAATAATTTAATTTACGTTGGTGTAATTTAACAAAACCACATAATTATAGTTTTGATTGGAGTTAGTAGCCAACCCTGAAATGTCTGTGTGATACACTGTGGAGTGAAGCCAAGTGGCAGGTGCCTTTAATATGATGGCAATGCATTAAGAAGCAAATATATACATATATATATGACTTAATGGACTTATAGGTCTTAATGCTAGAAGCATTTTCTGCCAGTGATCCTTTTGGTAGTGCAGAGATGTATTGGTAGGTGACATTTAGGAAGTTATGGAAAACGGAGTTGGATTAGGTAAGTCCTCCGATATGCAATTGTATATTAAAAGAATAAATACATAAATTATAATAACTATTCTTTCGAAACAAGTGATTTACTTGTTTCTTACATTAAACTTACGTTCTCTATCTGGACTGAACGTCAGCTCCACTGGTCGCGCTGGATGAGTAATTTTGTATATTAAATTATTTAAGAGAAGGTTGATAGTGATTAATGTGGTCGCTGACAATAAAACCTACGCCAATTTGTATGGTTTGTTTCTTGGCGTCTTAGGGTTAACATAACTAACGGCAGCTTTTGTAATGCGCACCGAGGTCTCATGACTTCCTCGACATTGTTATAAATACTAGTAAACACAGTTAAAAGTGACTTACAACCTTTAGTTTTCTCCAAACACAAAATGCGATTAAAGATGCACTATGTTTATGTTTTACTCCCAACTTTATTGTTCAAAAGTATTGCGACGATTCCTGTACAATCTGCTGGAGAGTTTGTAGAAGAAAACCTGCGTGTCCGAGTGCGGCGACAAGACGGGTACGTGTACGACAAGCCCAGTGTATCATTTGACCTGCCGCAGAGGTCTACTCCGGCACCTACTCAAGCACCGAATGTTGACAGGACGCTGACGCAGACTATGTTTTACGCGTATCCAGTGCCGGCCGGCGGTGACAGCGTGAACATTGGACAAACTTCGAAGAGCTCAACTACCACCGCCACTGCTGGATCATCGGGTGGAGGGTACAACTACAGGTCCTCTGCTGCTGGAAGTGCTGCTGGTGGCTACGATTATAGTTCCCAGACATCTGGAACTCAAATCAACACTGGTTCTCAGGTGACTACGGGAACGCAAACTACTGCGACTGGAAAACAAACTGCCTCTAATACTGGTTCTTCTCAATCCAGTTCGGGGTATGCTAACAATGTACCATCGCCCACTCTTTCCCCAACTCTTCAGGGCTCTTCAGATGTCTCCACTAGTGCGCCTAAATATTTACCTCCCACTGACGGCGGTACATCAGGAGCAAGTGCAACAACTGGCGGCAGTGTGAGCATTGGTGGCGTTTCTATTAATTCTGGTTCTGGACGGGGATACGCTGGTAGTACCTCGGGACAAGGCAGTTCAATAGGAGCTCCCTCAGATAAGTACTTGCCACCGTTGGGGACTTTGCCATCTGGTTCATCAGGCACATCGATCGGAGGCACAGTGACTGGGACGACGACGACGACTGGCAGTCAAACAAACGCAGGTGGCCCAGTATCGGTTCCAAGTGCCTCATATTTGCCACCAAACGCGTCGGCATCTCCTGCAGGAGCTCTCAGTCCACAACCAGCACCAGCGCCTCAAGCTAGTTACATACCACCTGCAGGAACTAGTTCCGGAACAGGAACAGTATCACCTCCCGCATCTGGGTACTTACCTCCATCATTTTTTTAGACTAGCGCCTATTAATTACTACTACGCACAAGTAAATAAATATATAAACTTAATCTATTGTATGAACTTAAATGTTTAAATAATCATTTTCAACGTTTGTAAATATAGGTTAATCATTAATCAAAATTATTTAACTGATCTTTAATTAGGTAATTGCCACATTTGTAAAAATATTGTGAAATATTTTTTTGCACTTAGTATACATAATAAAAATATTGCATAATAAATTAGTATTATTTAAAAAATTGCGTCAGACTTTTAATTATTATTAAATCATAAGAGTGACGTAATTTATTTAAAAGTAACTCATAGGTATTTACTGATTTAATGTTGATAAAAGATTTATTTTTTCTTGTCGGCTAACGAGATCCGATTTAAGACATCACAGATTTGACAACCCTGGACAACACCAGAGGAGTTGTTAGCGCGTTGCCGGACCTTTGAGGATTAGGTTTTAGGAGATTTAGCGATTGGGGAGAAATCGGGAGGTACCTACCAGGATAGTCTTTTTTTTTGTCAGGGGAAGATAATCCAATGACTTTTCCCGCCCAGGGAAAGGCGAGAGAGAGTGTCAGACTCTTACTGACTAAAAACCCCCCCGTTCCTTCTCCTGCTCTGGGCCAAGGTCGCGGTGCCTCATTGCGCTTACCCCGCAGTCCCGACTAACCTACCAGGATAGTCTGCAGTAACCTCATTGCACGCGAAACACAACGTTGTGTCACGACAGAAATCTTCAAGTCGTGGTATGGCCGTCACTTCGGTCGAGCATCAAGATTTTTTTAGTGTAGAACACTAAAAAAATCTTGTTTAAGACTAATTATTAGGCTTAGAAAGAGCTATACAAGTATACATATATATATCTAACATGTAACTCTCGAAACTTCCGTGTCAAGTAGTAAGCACCTGAGTCAGGAGGAAGGTCGACGCCATGGCGCCTCTCTAGACACTACTCAAAGAGGAGAAGGGATCTTATCTTACCGGGGTGCAGTCGTATGATTATACGACTACTACGATGAGGACTCGGTGAACTGAAAAATCTGGTGGGATTTAGTCAGTTAACGTCTTATATTTCCTCTCGCTACATTCAGGATGGAGGATTAAACAAAAAATGATAAGTACTCCCCCGCAAAAAAAGCACATTATAAGTCTTGTAACCCACACCGAGGTTTTTTGTTTAAGAAAATAATCAAATGACTTTTTTCACCCAGGTTGGGGCGAGAGGCAGTGTCAGACTCTTACTGATTAACAACACCCCCGTTCATTCTCCTGCCCCAGGCCCCAGGCAACTTATAGCGCAATTGCTCTGCAACGACGCTCCAGTGGTGCATTATGTCTTTCTATCTAATTATTATAGGAGTAGGATGTTCAGTATTCTGTTATAAGAATGTGTAACCATAGTTTACTTAGAATAAACTCCCATATTATTATTTTTTACAAAACAATGAGTATTTAGCTTATATACCTAATAATAGTAATAGTTTATGGTGTACATATAGGCATAAATAAAAATAAATTGTTTATAGATTTTTTTTGTACATTTTACAACCATGTTTTGATTTAATGAAAAAACGAAACGTATACCATCAGTCAGTGAAACGTCAAAGCATGGCGTCAAAGGCACACAAATGTTAAACGTCATAACGTCATACAAAAATAGCATCAAAGATGAAAGTTATTTTTAATATTTCTTAAAAAAACAATTTTGAAGTATTGTACCTTCCTTTGGGATGATCTATTTAGCCAAATGCAGAGTATTACTTTTTGATGGGTATTTTACAATGTGCCTTTATTGTGCGTTTGAATAAAAATTTACATAAGTTATGTTTTTACCAAAGCAAACATTAAAATTTTCTCGAATAGGAAGCAAGGCAAACCTGAGGTAATTATATGTATTACTCCACCAAGTGTATTATCATTTTATTTATATTCCTAAACTTGATTTTAAATACGTATTACGGTTGTTCAAGGTTCATGACCTTACTGGGTTAATTAATATTCTTTGTCCTGTTATTTATATTAAATACAATTTAAATACTAACTAAACGTCAACTAGTGAACATGTGGTGTCTAAATAACATTTTGACTAAATAGTGTTGGTGTAAAGCGTACGATTCGTCGCATGTTTCCAGAAGTGCGGGACTGCGCTCTGCTTCCGACCATGGTGCAACTCGACGTGACGGGTGCTCCTTTATACCCAAGCACGCTCACCTTAAATGACCTACCTAATGAAATACTTATATATATTTTTTCAATGGTGGATTTTGAATCACTATTGGCAGTTGCTAAAGTTTGTATGCGGTGGCAACAACTCTGCTTGACCCCCTGCGTTTGGGATAAAACACGCCTCATAGTATGTATGAAGAACTATGTGAGGATAAGTGAAAATATTGTGCCTTTTGTCGCCAAGTATGTGAAGAATGTTAAACTACAGTATTTCAAGTTGTATTCTCAAGTAAGGGCTTCCTTAATTAGCTACTGCCCTAATCTGACTCATTTAGAAATAAGTATATCTCAAGTAGACAGCTGTATCTTTGATGATCTAGGTTGCTGGCCAAACCTAAAGTTCTTGAGTTTCCGAAACTCACTCATAGTGAAAAATCCTGAAAATGCAAATGGTAATTTTGTTTACCATTTACCTTTTGATAAGTTAAAGAATCTGGAGACCCTTGTTTTGTCGAATTTTGCCCTCACACATGATAGTCTTTACAAGATGTTACAGTGCTCCAATTTGGTCAGTATTAGCATGGAAAAGATGAAGAATATTCCAGCTGATTTCCTTGAGTCTCTACTGAGAACTAAACAAACAACTCTTAGAGCTTTACATATATATGGAGACACTCTGAATGATGATATAATGCGCCACATATCCAATTGTAAAGCATTGCAAGTATTACACATCATGACATGTAAAACTCTCTTTGATTCAAGTTTGTTGCACTTGTATAGATTAAAAAATATGCATTCATTAAAACTACGACACGGCTACTTCTCAACTAGTGCTCTTCTGGCATATTTTACCAATAACACATTTCAAAATCTCACTTACTTAAGTCTCTCTCGCTGTCTCCATGTGACTATGCAAGTAGCAAAAGCCATTAAAACAAGTGCACCCAACCTCCAAGAGCTATCATTCTATCTATGTCCATTTATAATAGCTCCCAACTTTGACAGGTCAGAACTAGAGAAAATGTTTCAAATACAATTGTTACTTGATTGAATTAGTAGTGATTATATTGAAGGCAGCATAGATGTCCGTCCAACTTACATGTATTATTTATTTAAATGTTAACTACACCACTGTGGCTGTATGAAGGCAGCTATCCTCACCAAAGGACAAGCTACTTCATTGTTTTAAATAAATTTCATTAGTAAAGTTGTGAAAATAATACATACATACCATAATAATATTTAATGTGATTTAACATTATATAAATTGGTAAATCATAATAAGTGATGATGATGTTAAATATATCTTTTATATTATGAATAATTATACTAGTAAGTAGGTTGTGTTGTGGTGTATGTATCAACTAATAACTTACATAAAACAATCTTCAGTATTTAAATTAAATAAAAGTATTACATAACTTTTAGATGCATCTACATAGTAGATATATTTGTATTCAAGTTTCAGTGTATTGGTTGTGCATCTGGTCTTAAAATGGTTTTGTCTGATATGATAGAAAGGTATAAGAGAAGCTATGATGACTGAAACTTGAAGTGCAAAAGGTGTAACACCTTCAATTAAATGCATGTTTGTTTTAATTGTCAACTCACAAACACAAAATATTTCAATATACTGGAACAAAAATTTAACTGAATATGTGATGACCTTAGTATGTCTTAATATACATAGCAAAACATTAATTTTCCGCCTTTCTGTTTAGGAATCATAGTCAATTACATAATGAAGTGCCTTAACAGTTTTGCGTATTGATATGAGGAGGTTCCTTCAACAGACAGCGAAAATATTTCCAAAAAATTAGAACTATTTAATGTCCCTTGAAAATATATACAATTTTACATCAACTACATTTAAATGTCATTAATTTTAGTACTTGATCTTTATTTTTGTTTGTAGACTCTTAATGAACCTTTTTGTAATTTTTTAAGTGATTAGTATATATTATACTATACAAAAAAGCGACAAATCGAATATAAAAACATTTCGAATTATCTTTCTAATATTTATTTAATTTAATTATATTTGTTTGTTATAAAAATGTTCTGTGTCATTTTTATTTATAAAACATAATTCTATTTTATTGGTTCAAAATTATTTAATCTACAAATTGTATGTTTACTTATATGAAATGTGATTTTGATAGTAGAAATATTTTGTTTGTGCTGTTTTATTGTGCGCGAATAATAAAATATATTTTGAACAGCATTTATTGTTTTATTGGAATTCATGATATTCAATGCTCTTCAAGACATAGTACCCACATACGCTTAAATGGGTTTCTAACGAGAGTGTTACGTAGACATCATTATAAATGCTTTATTAATTTATTTTTAATTGAACTAAAATAGTTCTTAGATACGTTTATCTTAAATAATGGTGGGATTTTATACCTTATTAAAGGATTACTCCAAAAATACACTTAGCTTGTTAAAGTTTTTAGTTTTAACGTTTAGTCCGAGTATGGCTCACGTACATATGTAATGCTGAATGCAGACGCTTAGTAAATAGCTACGTCAAAATACGCAACTCTACGGTCAGCCTGCCCTGGTACCAGTGACAAATCACGCCTGAATGTAATAAAACTGGCTTCTTAAGTTATTAAGATTATTAATAACTATTGCTAATGATTGTAGATATTGTACCATGTATCAATAACGCCGCTGATAAGCGACTGATAAGATACCACCAATCGAGCCCATCTTTATTACTTGTATTGGAAATTGGCAGAGTATGCCTATTGGATTTATTTATTTATTAATAAACATACCTACATGCATAATTTTACAGCACAAGCCAAAATATTATACAATTAAAAAATGTACAGTTTACTACTTTATACTTATTTAATAGGTATCTTCTTCTTATATATATATATATATATATATATTAAAAAAGTACTAAAAATATAATTACTTAAAACTAATTCGTCAGCTATCCATCTTCTCACAAAATCTTACACATTCACGACATAAATCCGTCCATCTCGCTGCGAACAAATCACATTCTGGTACCGATGCCAAGAGAGCATTGATAATAGTTAATGCTCGAACAAGCGGAGAATTTGCATGCTTTGCGCATTACCACGACAGCCAGTAAGGGGTGCCTACAGGGCCTTAGCTGATGCTTCAGTACTGTGGGCACAAACAACCGTAGCACCTGTGCCACCAGCTCCGGACAGTCAGATTGTCCTCGCAATGTACTGCAAGTTGAGATAATAAGAGAGTAATTTCGTCTCACTGCCAAAGAATTAAAATTTAACATGCCTAATAAAAACTTGGTGGAATATAAGAATGGATAATAGCCAAATATCTTTTTGTACAGATATCTAAGAAATGCTTTTTGCACTTTCTCCAGCAATAAAGCATAAGTACTCTCATGAGGATCCCATACAATAGATGCTGCCTCCAGTTTTGTAAGAACTAGGGCCATGTACACCAGTTGGATAGCTTTCGGGTTATCAAATTCACGCATATTGCGGATAATAAAACCTAATCAACGATAAGTCAGTCGTAAGTAATCTCATATGTGCGTAAAAGTTCAGTCGAGGGTCGAAAATTACACCTAAGTCCTTTACGGTGTGGACGCAATTTATGAGCTCTGATCCCAAAAAGTACTCAACGTGCAAAGGCTTAAGTGCTCGACTAAAGGTCATTACATTACACTTCGCAGTATTAAAGTGGAGTTTATTCTCATTACTCCAGTGGTACATGGCATTAATATCACCCTGTAAGGTATCTGTATCCGCTAAATTTTTCACTCCATAAATAAGCTTAAGATCATCAGCATACAATAAACACCTCGCATGCTTAAGGCACGATTCTAGATCGTTCACCATCAATCCAAACAATAAAAGACCCAAAACAGAAACCTGACTAACACCAGAGCGAGTATGATAAAGTGGGGAAACAAAACAACCATGTCTTACATATTGTTGACGATCACGGAGATATCGATTGATAAACACCAAAACCATGAACCAAATACGCTTATGGAATTCTTTAATTAGAAAGTTTTAGATCAGGGCATAAATATACATAGGTACATGTCAGGTAATCTAATATATCTGAAAAAAAAAGTCACAAGTTAAATGTGGAACAAACTTTTTACTTAAAATGCAAAATCATACACGTTTAACATTTTAATTTATTTATTAAAGGTTAAGGTATTTAGATTGGTTTGATAAATATGTTTACTACACGAAGGGTTGTATATTGATCTCTAGCGCGGAGCAGGGGTTGGTGAGCTCGAAGGCAGCCAACACGGCGGGGCTGAGTACGCCCACCTTGCCGATCACCTCGCCACGTAGTACCACGGCCGCACAGCGACCCGGGAAGTACGCAGGGTCTGATAAAATATCAAATATTTCGCATTTGTATTTAGAAAACAAATAAAAAAAATTAGAACAATTTAATCATTTACGATTTCCTTTACCCAACGCACAGTTTCTCAATTTTTAAGTTATTACTTTACACATTTTTCTTTACAATATATACCTAAAAAGAAACAAAAATAGTAGTTACAAGTGACATAACAAAATTAGTTAAACCTATCAAATGTATCAATTCGACACAACAGAGGAACAAAAGGTGCGCGAACGCCGAGTTCGCGTGGGGTTTGATAAATTAAAGGAAACACATCTTTTCTTTAACTACGTATCGATATTTAATTTTTATGGTAAACGAGACCTATTATACCTGGTGGCAAAATCAGCGTCGCGCTGCCTATTGACACTTACAACACCAAAGGAGTTACCTACTACAAGTAAATTGCTGGCCTCTTGTAGGTTATTTGTGATTCAAGGTGTTGCTTGACGCATGTATTCTGTGGGGCCGTGTTATTACTCCGATTGAGCCAGCCCATTCGTGCCGAAGCATGGCTCACTCAAACAAATTCGAAATGTTGCAGTTTCTCTCAACTAATGCCAACGGATGTTGATACACAGAAGGTACAGGTAGCATAACTATAGTACATAATTATACAAACCTTCGCACTGCCTGAGATAGTACCCAGTATCTTTATCCCAGGGCTCCCGCAGCAGCGCCATGACGCGGTCGAGCAGGCCGTGCACGAACTGGAAGCCGGCCGCGCGACCGCAGTGCACCGCGCACAGGCGACGCTCGTTGCGGGCGCCAGTCTCTGTACAATACCCGTTTTTATTATTTTTTGTACTTAGAGGGTAAAGTCATCAAATAACTTCTCTCGCCTAGGGTATGACGAGAGAAGGAGTATCAAACTTACTAAATAAAGACCAACGTTTATTCATGTTATCAAACTAGACGAAACTAGCGCTGCCCATGGACACTAGCTGCAGCAAGATAATGATTGCTTGACATTTAATATTCACCGCTATGCTTAACCAATTCAGACCAGTTCTCGACAGCCGCAAGTCATCAGCATATAGATGGTACGCACACTGAAGTTCGGAAGTTATTAAATTAATGAAGATGGAAATAAAAGAGGAGATAGTACCTACACCGCCTTGAGGAACGCCAGTTTTCAATTTGCACCAATTAGATGAAACCTCATCTAGCTTAATCGATTACTGACGCTCCTGATGATAGGAAGGAAACCATTGCAATGATTTGCTAGAGATCCAAAGATGGGATAAGATTGCCGAAAGGTCGTGACTGACCATATTGAAAGCATTAGAAACATTGGTGCCCTCAATGTCAGCTCTTATTTTACCAGTCACTTAAAGGAGGGTGGAAACCGTGCTGTGCCCAGTCCTGAATCCAGATTATAGAGTACTGATGAGCCCATTCATGTAAATGGAGGACTTTAACTGGACTTTAAGGACTTTGGATAGGAAAGGGAGTACAGATATAGGCCGAAAATGTGAGGAAATAGTAGGAGCAGAGACTTTTGGAAGGACAAAGGAATTACGCCACAGGGATGGGAAAGTTCCGGAAAAAAGGGAATATCTTATGATATGGGTTAAAGCTGGCAGGAGCTGATCAAGATATTAATGATCATATGGCGGGAAATGTCTACTGATGGACATAAGAATCAACAAAAACGTAAGATTTATTCAGTACTTATTTGTCTGTACTTTATTGGAAGATCTCAAAAAATGTGCATCACTAACAAATCCTTTAAATTATGTTTAATTATATTTTATTTAGATTCTAAAATGTAACTAATAACGTCATAAGTATCGTTGACCCAATTCTTTATTATATTCGAAGAATTCTGAAAATAGGGTCAAATGATATTGATTAGATAGTACCTATGTCATTTGTAACGGAGCAGCTAGCACCATAACACTTACACGTTTTAATATAATTATAGGTAAACTTATTAACATAACAATAAAAAAACAACCAATAATGAACTATGCAACAAAAGCTTAAAATCTGAATTGTAACATCTGTCTTTCGACATTAAGGTGCAAGCGTAACGTTCTGATGATGGAATATTGAGGTGGTTTGAACCTTGGAGGTAGCCCACTAATAGACCTAACGAGTTTCGGCATATTACAAATTGTATTATATACTTGCTTCCGTCTGCGGCTTCGCCCGCGTGCTGTGTTGATAAAAAGCAGCCTATAGCTATATAACAAAATCGAAGTTTACATCAAAGTTATTAATCTCATTTTTATGGGAACATCTCCAATGGGTAAATACCCTGTTACTTAGGTACTAAGTCTCCGCTATCCGTCCGTCCATAAGTAGAATGGTACGGATCTAACTAATGGGTAAGTATTACAAATATATCATGAAAGCTATTATATTATATTTTAAGCTATATCGCGTCGAGCGCGGCAACCGATCCACAAAAATATTCCTTTTAGCATGATTCAGTGTTCACATGCGACGGCGCGATGTCTTATTATCCCAACTGCTAAGCTATCAGGAGTTACACGTGCAATTGTGAGTTAACCATAAAATATAGACATATGCTGTAAAACATTTTTTTTAGATCATTTTATGTAAAATATTTGCGTGATACGTTATTTCTATGAAACTTTAACCATTAAGGCTACACACGCGACGGAAACTTAAAAAAGGGAGTAACGTCTGACGTTTTCCCAACATTTCCCTTCACTGCTCTGCTCCTATTATTTGTAGCGTGATGAAAAGTATCCTATAACCAGCCCAGGAGTATAAAGAATAAATGTAGCAAGTTTTGATATAAAATTAAATTAAAAATTTAAAAAAACCCCCGACTTTATAAAAACCAAATGTAATGAACGGAACGAGATATCCATAAACAATTATAATTCCTATCAAAATGGATGGATATGGATATGGATATCAAATGATATCAATATATCCATAAAGCGCCATTTTGTAGAGGCAGCCATCTTGGATTTTAAATTTTTCATACCTAATAGTATTTCACTAGTCAAGCCCTTTCATTTGATATCCATATTGATCAAGTTGTAATAAAAAAATGTAAAGCACCATTTTGTAGAAGCAGCCATCTTGTATTTTAAATTTGTCATATCTAATAGTATCTACTAGTCAAGCCCTTTCATTTGATACCCATATTGATGAAGTTTAAAAAAATATCTAATCTGTCATTTTGTGGCGGCGGCCATTTTATTTTACATTTTTTAATATTTAGTTGCTGTTGCTTTTCGAGGCCGACGTAAATTTTGGCAAACAATCTAAAACAAAGTAGGTAGTCCTGATTGTAGAACTTGACACAGAAACAATTTAAATATTAATTTGCGCTAGATACATAGGTGTGTCCTAGAAATCGTTACAGTAGTGACCTATATTTTATAATGAGCAAAACATTGTGATATTACTTTGTTTCCTTTCTGATATGGCCTGGGTAATGAGGAAACAAGTAAACAGTTTTAATTAAACATGTTCTCCAAATTGTAACCAAGCCTTATCGTAAGTTTTTATTTTTATTATGATGTAGAGTATTTGATTTAAACCCAATTTAAATGTTATTTTATTTTTAATGTTTCATATTATTGTGTAAGTATTATTTTACTTTAGTGAAACAATGAATTTATCTTTGCAATTGGGCCATATCCAACACTTTTACGCCGTAATTTCCGTATCTGACTAGAAAAGACTGTGAGAAGAAATGGCGAAACAAACTCAGAGGTCCACTTACTTTGAAGATACAACAGAAAGAACTTGAACTGTGAAAATACTCATAATTGCTTTTGATGCTGTGGGGACATGTTTCTGTGTGTGGCTGTACTTATTACAATGAATACATAAGTTATTTTGTTTCACAAATACTTCCATTATGTAATACGATAAATAAGCTTTGGTTAGAAAGCTAAGCATAGTCCTACTTTTGTCCATTGAATTTATTTAGATACATATGTAAAGTATATGCATTTAAATGCGGCCGTATCGTAAAGAACGCATTTAGTTTTCAAATAACTCACCAACGTTTTTATCTTGCAGTACAACATCACTGATTTCGAACAATTTCATTGGTAGAGGCATTTTCTTGTTGGCAGCTAACGTTTTGAGCAGGCCTGGTAGTAATAACGTCCGCACGACTTGGAACTCTAAAGTCTTTGGGTTAGAGATGTGAGCTGCTGGCACTTCTTCAATTTTAACACCTAATTTCGTAGCAACATCATCCCGGGAACACTGAAAACAAAATATTTTTTATTATGCTCCTGGTTTGGATGCTAACCAGTAATCATGGGGTTAATCAGTAAGAGTCTGACACTGTATCCCTTTCGCCCCTCCCTGGGCGGGAGAAGTGATCATTTGATGATTTTTCCCCTTAGAGAAAGGCAGAAATTGCAGAAGTGTACAAAAAGACTATATCATAACCAGAAATAGTGTATAAAGTGCTATTGGCTTTACTTAATTTGAGTTTCGGAAGCGGATTGTTTTTTTCGTACGATCTACGTGTACGTAGATACAACAGTAAAACACTATTGCCATTGCTAAATCGGTTGAAGACGAAAGACGGTAGAATTTTCAAACCTTTGTTGCAAGATTCCACTTCACAAATGTCCATACATACATACAAACAAATTAAATTAAAGCTAGTAGAAAGAAGTTTTTCACAAGACTAAGATACTGACCAGTGTGAAGGTGAGTGCCTCGGTGTACCCTGCGTGTGCGCACTCTAGTCGCAGTTGCTCGGTCAGCTTGTTGATTGGGTCCTGCCCACCCGTCGTCACCACCCGCGCTGGCCGCCGGACTATGCGGTTGTAGCTGGGGAAATATTTTCAGAGGGGATTAGTTAGTCGTAATAAAATAACCAACTATGTACTGGAAGTTGTAGTTCTACGAGAGTACATTATACTTTTATTGGCTTACGTAAACGGAATGCAGGGCTCCCTAAAGCTAAGTGTAGTGACATTTTATTATGTTACGGTACAAGTGTGAAGTGTGTGTTTTTGGCATTTTCGCGCAAGTGTAAGCGTAACTCAAATATTAATATAAAAAAAAACTATTACTCACTCGTAATAGTAATGAAAAAGTCTCAGTTTGATACTATTATTCACAAGTGAGTAATAGTTTTTTTTAAATTATTGGTTGACTTACGTTTATACTTGTGCTTAAATGCTAACCAAGAAAAAGAAATATCATTTTTAAGTTTATGGCCGATGCGCGCGCATAGGAGTACCTACTGATTAATTTTTGTCGCCACTACGAAACATTTTTCAAAACTCGTCTCATTTTCTCTTTTGAAGTTTTTTTAAGTATTATTTTATTCAGAAGTGTTTTGAAAAACGTCGTATGATACACGTGTGTATTGATGATTACCATCCACGGCCTTTTAATACCCTCGCCTAGCAGCTCGGGCCTCAATGCCCTCTGCGGTAATCACCAATATTACACACTTATACCATAATGTACTATAATTGAGCTAGTCTGGATTAACAAACAAATAGGATTATTTACCCATAAGCAATAGCGATGTCCTCGTAAAGATCGCATGCGTGTATGACGTCATGCCTGGTGGGAGGCACGCGCACGCGCAATGTGGTACCGTCGTCTTCCGTCGTACTAGACAGGCACATGCGGGAAAGGAGACGCGCTAAGTTTTCTCCATTTTCACTAAAAAAATACAGAAATAAACTTTACATAGAACTTTACTAGACAGCCACAAGACTTTTCTATAGGAATTGTATAATGACTTGCTAAAGTTTCAGTATGTAAGCAAGATATAAATAGGCCGCCTAATCTAAAGGATAGGTCGTTTTATAACTAAAGGAAGCGGGCAAAACGAATGAGACTAAATCTCATAGAAAAAATTACACTTTACATTGTTCTGCTTTTGCCAATCTACATAAAAGTATGAACAACATATATGAAATAATGGACTTCTCCAGAGAGGATAGACAGACCTCTGTCTATCACATGTCATGTCTACACATATTGTCTGTAACACCCACTGTTCGCCAGATATGCTTTAAATCCCTTATCTAGCACAGGTATCGACAGATATCGAGCTCTTTATATCTTGCTTGTCAGCCTTGTTTCTCATTACTCTAAGAATGAGGCTGCTGTTTTTAAACATAAGTATCTTACAATGGTTTTAAAACGAGGAAAGGCAATCTTCAGGACGAATGGTCCGGCTCGACCGGAGTTATACCGCGGCTTCACAGGAAACCTGCGTGAAATAACGCGTAGGTAATTGTATTCCGCCGAAGTCCAATCCCTTCTTAGCACTTGCTTTGATCTTGTAACACTTCCATGGTTACGGGTTTCCACGAGCATCTATGATTATTTAACGTCTAATCAAGTAAGCTAAGTCTGCTCGTTTGCCTCTCTTTCCCATAAAAATACTCGTTTATATAGTGTAAACTTACTTAATGCCAATGTAGTTGTTAGCCTTCTCGACGCTAAGGGTTTCCTCCCGTGTGCACATCTTGGGGTAGAGCTCGTACGCCCCGTCGGGCGCGAACACCTTGCATTGTTCCACCTCGTACTCCTTGCTGCAGTACTTCGAGAACATGCTCACTATCGTGTCTAAGACCACTATCGCCTGTAACGTCGATTTAAGACTGTTAAAATACCTCCATTAGGACCCATTTTTATTACGCTTTTAGTTTCGACGTCCATGGTTTGGACGGAAATCTAGTACATTCACAAATTCATACCACGGGGTAGACAAAACTATTGAAAGCCACCTGATATGATTCTACACTCCCATGCCTTTATTACATTTACGCATTAAGTTAGGTATAGAAGCACGCAAATATTAGCCCCCACACCTGACCTTTTCCTAGAGTCAACTCGATGAGTTCAGCATAATTATGTTGTCCCAGAGAAGGCCCTATGGTGTTTATAAATATCTAAAGTATACATTATATTATATTTACACTAACAAAAAATAAATAAAATAAAAATGTACTTATTCAAAGATAAAAGTAACATATTTGTACACAGTATGTTTATTCATGTCAATGACAAACAGATTTTTTTCCTACACAATCTAGTTTGTCAAAGTGGCTTATGTGAACAAAATGTGAACAAAGTCTTACTCATTGTTTAAAATGTGAGATCAAATGTGAATATGATGCAGATACTTAGAAATATAGTTAGTTTGTATTCCTCTATAGGCACTGACTGACTCATTGATAAAGTGGTCAGTTTTTGAAAACTCCTTAGTGATAGCATGAGGTTTAACTATAACTTTGGCATTACATGGTCACAAGGGAACCATAAGAAACTGATGAATACCTGAAAGTGCCTTGTTACATATTTACCTTAGTGAGATCTGTAGCTGTGCACTCAATGAAAACATTTTTAGTGTCCAAAGTGATCTTGGAGTGGTCTCCATTGATAATGGGTGGCATGGAGAGCACTACCCCATTCTTGTCCTTGATGACCGGGTATACTGGACTGTCCCTGATGATGCCTAAGTACTGCTTCAATTGCGCATGTGACTAGAAAATGAAATACAAAACAATGTCAAACATAAGGCATACTCTCATTACATATTAGACTTGACAGTAAACAGATTGAAATTACATAGGTTTGTCTAGTCCTGGCTGGTTTCTGGTTTATTTGGACATGGTGATAACAGCCTTCTCATGACTGCCTTGATGATCCAAGAATTCACATAAGAATTTTTAAAGATGACTATCCCTTAGGGTTTCAATAAACAATTTCTCAGAAATAAAAAGGAAGTATTGGATTTTTTTAATAAACATGATAATATGTGAATGGAGTCTGCAATTAGTGTTTGGTCACATATTGCAGACTTGACCTCTAATAAATGGGACTTATCATAATATGTAAATGATATTATATGGGTGTTATATTTAGCATATCCATTTGGCAATGCAGATGTGATGGTGTAGGTAAGAAGTTAATTAATTTTACAATAACATTCACATTACTCACAGAATACAACTCCATAAGTTCAGGTGCAGTCATTTCCTTGGCTTGATTGAGTGCCTTGAACTTAATCTCACTAGGTGGTAATGCATCATACACAAAGGGTCCCTGTATGGTGTCCAAGTCATGGGTACCAATGGCTACTAGAGTTCTCTTCCTGCATATATTTTGATGTAACTTGTCCTGTAAGTAAACAAATTAACAATATTTTTTTTAAGGATGATGATGATGATAATGCATTAAGGAACTGAAGTAATAAAGTATAGTGTTTCTATTGATTTAGGAAATAGTGTTTTGTGTTTGTCATTAGAGTTAATTATCTATTTCACTTATCATTATGTTTGTTCGTTTCCTTTCACGGGATCACAGGATCCCGGACCTTTGGAAGGCGTACGAGGAGCCGAAGCCAACTTGCAGAGGCCCGTTGAACAATTTTAATATAAATGTCATGGGACATCAGCCGGCAATTATCCCTGTATGCATTATAAATCACTTATCATTATTATTATCTGAATTCTATATTAAAATCTAACAAGAATACTTTACCTATTAAATATTTAATTGAATAAGAATTATTTTTAACAACATACATTGTTTAAATTATTTACGAATTTAAAAGTATGTTAGTTAACCTTTCAATTGTGGTAATTCATGACATAAATAAAAGAAGAACACTAGGTGCGGGAACGCCGGCGTTCACTTGAGATTTGGTGAATTAATAATAAATATTTTAGCATTTTTATCTCACTTGCAAATCTATGAAACTGTCATATGACTCCTTGGTGAAAGTGATGCCTTTAAGTACAGCAGCTACTGCAAATGGCCTGATTTGTCCTGTTGCAGGTGTTAGGTGTAAAGAGTGACAGTCTTCATACTTTTTCAGAACATAATGTGGAGGGGGTTTCCTGTAAGCATAAAAAAATATGGGTAGTTAAGTATATGCACCTTTTGTTGTATGCTTTTTTTGCTTTTACTCTTTACTAAGAAGGGTTTATATACTATTCATAGGTTAAAACTTGAATAAGTAATACAAGTAGGTATCTATAAATAATATTTATTCAAATTAATCTGATTTTGATACCTTATTTAACTTTATTCAAGTCTAGTCTCATTTATGGTACTTATATTAAACCAATATGATAACAAATGTATTCTAGAATTGTGTAAACAGGCCTCTTATGCATAATCTATACATATAAAAGAAAGTCGTGTTAGTAACTCCACTTATAACTCAAGAAAGGCTGAACTGATTTAGCTGAAAATTGGCAGGGAGGTAGTTTAGAGCCAGGAGAAGGACATAGGATAGGATAGAGTAAGAAGTGTGGGGTATGTAGAGTAGGGTAAGTAGAGTAGGGTAGGTAGAGTAGGGTAGGTAAAATAAGGTAGGTAGAGTAGATTAGGGTTGGTAGAGTCGGGTAGGTAGAGTAGGGTAGGTAGAGTAGAGTAGGTAGAGTAGGGTAGGTGAAGTAGGGTAGGTAGAGTAGGGTTGGTAGAATAGGGTAGGTAGAGTAGAGTAGGTAGAGTCGGGTAGGTAGAGTAGGGTAGGTATGGTAGGTAGAGTAGGTAATGGAGGGTAGGTATTCAAATGACGGGAGCGACGCCGCGGGTAAGAGCTAGTAAGATAATATTAATACAGTTTAAAGTTTTATTATTGATCACAAGTAACATGTTGCAGCCAAATAGTTGAATCAGGCATCCAACCAACAGCCTGAATGACTAATTCTTTGATTGAATAGCTAAATTTTTTATTCTGGCTGCAAGTTGAAGGGTGAAGGTATTGTCATGAAAACTGACTACCTATGAGAAAAAGTTTGGTAAAGTTAAAACTGCAAACTGCACAGAAATTGAATCACCATCAGAAATAAACAGTCACTCAAACTGTACTGCAATCAAGGCTAGATAATTGATAGAATGGCTTTTTTAACCAGTTGTTGGCTATAACAGACACCTACTTGCCCTGGAAAACTAGCAGGCCGTCAACCAATCCCTCCAAGCAGAGGAGATCATATCTATTGGCTGGGATGTCTATTCGGTAGAGGATCTCTTCTGATACTCCTGCACCAACATGTTCACCTTGCTCCTTCATTAACATCTGTTTCTCTGTTGTCTGAAAAACAATTTCAATCTTAAAGATTTCAATTGAAAACAAATAAATACGCAATACATTAACCAAAATAAGAATCATACATATAATTACATATGTATATGTACATATTGGGTATAGAAACATATCATATATAAATAGCAACAAAAACCTTGTGAATTTATAAGGTAAATGGTATTTTAAGGGCCTGAAATTTACTAAAACCTTAGAAATTGTAACTAACTCGTATTAGGAATCAAAAGCCCAATTTAGTTCATAATATTTGTAGGTGCTTAGAATGTGTTTTGCAGGTTAGGTTATATCAGATTAAATAGTTAAACACTTACAACTTCATCCAGTTCCAAGCCAAATTCGAAACAAAGTTCTTGGAATTCATCGTCAGCTGAAACATATCGATTATGAAAAATATTTTAATTCAGAAAAATAGAAGGACTTTAGCCAGAAATTAAAAATTTCATTAATAATTTTGAAGTACTGACTATAAGTTTTCCCAAGTGCGGCAAACAGAGAATCTCGTTTCACAGATATAGTTGGCATTATAAAATTTATAAATAATTATAGTATCAAGTTTATTTATTTTCTCTGAACAGTACAGAGAGAATTTTGATATTTTTCATCAGCTGGCACGCACGTCTAGTTGATTAAAGTGCCAACGTCAGTCAGATCGTAGGTACAATCAGATAAAAAGTTGCATGCCAAATGTTTTTTTATCCTTTTTCCTCTCACAGTTCAAGCATGTATATTCCCCTTTTGTATGCTAAAGAACAATAGTTTTGTTTTTCGTGTTTCGAACTTTCTTGAATAATGTTGCTAACACTGCAATGGCCTGTAACTTTGACATTAATGACAAATCAAATTGTTGAATTTGAAAGAAATAGGTAACTACAAAACGTTAATTTACCATATTAAAACAGTAGTTTATTTGAATATATAAATGGCAACTCCATTTTTGTTTTTGATTTTAATATGCGACGAAATGACGTCATGTTTTTTATATTTTTGTTTGTATAGTTGCGTTGACCTAGGAAAACATCAGATATGGGTACCTACAGAATAATATTAACAAACTCATCAACAAAATTCTTAGAGATTAACATATTAAATGTTGGTAAAATGAAAATATTACTCAATTATTTTGGCCAATTTCAAGAAATGTTGCTAGATAATACTCTGCTGCGTAGCATATTATTAATATAATGACCAAGCATGTGCGTGTGCGCAATAACATTGTTTTTGTTCTGACAAACTAGTAATGAGAAATAAATTTAATATGAAACGTAAATGATAATTTAGTATGCTACACAACATAAATATATCAATCTATACTCTATACTAATATTATAAAGAGGTAAAATTTGTAAGTTTGTCTATAGGGGGTAATCTTTGGAACCGCTGGCTACAATGTTCCTGAGTGCTTATAGGCTATAAAACATCACGGTAAGTTTCGCTGCTCTGTAACTTTGTTAGGTATTTTAAGTTTCAGAAGCAAAAGAAAAAATACCTATCTACTATTTTCTGGCGTTCTAAAAGATGGACTAATTATTAGTTTTTAGTCATCATCCCTACTATGATTAAGATCAGTTGTCGCCTTGCTGGAATGCCATTACTGTTAAAAAAGAATCGATCCAGACATTTTGGAAGGCCGTAAGACTTTCTACCCTATCGGTAAGGTGCTCCAGCACTCCTACTTTTAAAATATATAGGTACTCTAAGTAAAAAAATGATTCAAAAATATCTTATTGGCTAAAACAAATCAGTACTTTCTAATGAAGTGGGTGACGGGTTTGGGAAAGTAGAATATCATACATTTTTGTTTTAGCGTGGTTATTTTGACTGGCTATTTTGTCGTTTCAAAAGTACCTATTTACGGTTTAATTGGAATAAATGATTTTAAATTTAACTTTGGTAAAATTACATAAGTCGTTCATGGGATTCTGTATAAAACAAGATTCCAGGTGAATCAGAACAACTCAAAAAAATAACTTAAATAATGTACCTATAAGAAAAACTTTATGAAGCCCTGTTAAGATCTCTCCAGTGGTGCCAAATTGACGACAGTTATATCGAGTTTCGTAGAGCTAGTTCAAGAACTCAAGTGTGTCGGTCCGAGTACATGATCGAAAAACAAGAGATATACCTCGGCAGAAGTGTGAGGTAAGGAATCGTTATATCTCCTAAACTTTTTATCAAGACAATCAATGAAGACATCCTCAGACTTTAAGAATAGAAAGGATCCACAGCCACCGTAGCCACTTATCTTCAGTTTTCCAACACATCAGGGTCATGGCAAAATCATTGGATGATCTAAGCTCAATGCTCTATGTCCTCTGTCGAGTGTCCCAACAGCAACAGCTTCGAATGAACATGGACAAGATGAAGATCATGTTGAGTGTAAAGGCCTATGTTACGTCCTACCAGATATAGGCCAAGAACCTGTCTATCCTCTAAATTTACGACTAATACTTGGGATATTATTTTCAACTCCGAGAAGGAGGTCAATCGTGAAATCTGACTTGGATGGAGAACTCAAGACGAAAATGTATAATCAGTGTGTGTAACCAGTAATTATGTATGGTACCGAGACCTTAGTGCGAGTAGTCTTTCAGTGTGGACTTATAAGAATGCTCAAGGTCATTAGGTCACTTATGGAACTAGTAAGCTGAAGTGGTGGTAGACAGGGTAATTAGCTCGGATAACCGACACCCTGGGTCAGGAAGATTCTCAAATAAAGAACAGGCAAGCGCAGCGTAGTACTAAAGCACAAGATGGATTGATGACCTAATTAAAGTTGCAGGTAGCTTTAGGAATTATAAGGGAAGGACGTACGTATTACGTTCAGCAGTAGACGACTACACGTCTCGTGTCTGATATAATAAATTTCATTGCTATTTGTTCAGATTAAAGTATCCTAATGTTGATTTTATATTTGTACGCCTGATATGGCAAAACATATTGAAACTGTAAATGATATTGTACGGGTGGTACAATATCATTTACAGTACATATGTTTTTAACACATAAAATTATCTTTATCTGTATTTTCAAAAATCTATTGGGGATATAAGTACTTATATTTTTTAAGGCTGAAGAGTTTGTTTGTACACGCACACGCTAATCACAGGAACTACTGGTTCGAATTGAATAAACCTTTTTGTGATAGATTTTTTGTGGAATTTTTCATTCATTTATTGTGGAATGTTAGGTTAAGATAAATAAGAGCCTAAAATGGATAAAATCACCTGCGAGTAGTCAATGTAATGTCTAAAACTAATTAAAATTACTTCATATTGGAAGAGATTTTCCTTTTAAATTAAATATTAAGAAACTCGACAAGAATTTATTGCTGTGAAATAGAAATCTACCAAAGACGGTCAAATAGATGGTTATATGGTAACACTATAGGTCACGTGATACTAGTCTGGTTTTGCAAACGGTGAGTGGAGTGCCTTGTCATCAGTCCTTTGAGTTTTTGGATGATTTTCTTTGGAATTTTTATTCAAAGTGAGTAATTTTATGAACAAAATCACTTGTACAGCATGTATTTGTTTTATTGTGGTGTTTATTTGTGATTGTGACCCGTGTATTCATATGACGAAATTGTACCTTGTTCCGTGACTAGCTAGTGATATGACGCCATTTTCTTCGTGAATGCCAATTACTAAATTCTTCAACATTTTCTTTGTTTCTGCGCCGTGAAGAGACTGTAGCTGTTTATGATATTGGTCTAGGACTTTAGCTTCATGTTTTGTCCAAGATTTAGCTGTGCACTGGATTGGTTGAAACCTTAAGTGCACTTGTTCATTAGGTACGCATTTTTTTGCATGACACCACCTTGGGAGGCATAGTGTAGTTTCTTCCGTGCTGTAAGTTATAATTACAGTACACAATGTACCTTGAGCTCCAATAATTCTTTTTGTTTCACAATTTTATGTTTTGTTACTACGTACCCTCCTGTATATATATTATTTTTACGTATTTTAGAGTAGCTTAATAAAAGCTGCTCACGAGCCACTACTTCCTGTTCCTAGCTGATGTATAATTTTTTCCTTTGAGGAACATAGTTTTTACAGATTTGATCCTACTGAGTACCCACTGGTACAAATATTTGAAAGTTGAATGGCATAAATTGTAACAATGCACAAGGTGGTGATGACACAATATGTACATTGTTGCTTTTGTGCATGCAGCTTGTTGCAGTTTCCCTAAATGACTTCCATGTTGGAGTGACATGGTAAACATATTCATATGTGATGTAATTTATTTATTGTTTTGCTGTTACTTTAATTTACCATTCTTTACATTATATTAGTTTATTTTTTTTGTTTCTGTGCCTTGAAGATTACTATCATATTTCCATAATGTTTCTTAAGTAAGTTATGATAATAATAGGTTTGTACATTGAGTTTTTTATTTGTTAATATAATTAGCTCCACATGGAGCAGATAAGTTCAGTTTTGACTTTGAGCATTATTTTACACATGAAGTGAAATGTTCAATGTGTGGACATGACACTGATAAGAAAAGAAAACAATAAAAATAACAAAGTGGTGGAAACAAGCACAGCACGCAATATTTTGTAAATGGTCACAGCACTGAAGTGTTTTGATTATGATAAAATTGGCTCTGTGCCAATTGAACAATTTTTTTAATATTGATAAACTATTTAGAGTTGAACATTCTAGAAAATCTATTTGGGATGTTATAAGGCCTATTTAGTTATTATTCACTGAGATGTAGGTAGATGGTGAATGCCATAGACCACATTTAACTTTATAATTTTTGAGTGAGAGTTTTATCTAGAATAAGAAAAATTTTTCTCAGCATAGTTACTAGGATAATAATTATATTTAAATTTGTCGTTGAATAGAATTTTTTTATTTACAGTTAGTTTCATTCATCACATAAACAATAGTTTGTACTGGTCAGATTAAGAGCTTTTCAAAACTGGAGCTCTTACGTCAAATTCCATGGAATAAAGTAAATAATATTATGAGAAGTGTATAATTTGATGTCACAATTAATTCTGATTATAATCTGTTCATACTTTTAAATTAAAAATAGCCAGCTAGTTGGGTAAAAAAAATATTTTTGTTTGTGCTATAGTTTATATAACAATTTTGCTAAATTGATGGTCAAATGTATAAAAATGTATTCAAACCACAAGCATAGATCTGTGGGAGATAAAGTGTTTTATCTCTATGTTAAATTGCTTGATAACTTGCAGCTTACATGTGGCAATTTCTCTACAGCTTTGTTGCATAACTTCTCTGCTGAAAAAGATAACTAAAACATTAATTTCTAATTAGTTGGACTTTGTTAGTTCCAGCTAATTAAACCTTTGGAAATTTATCAAGAAACCTCAAATTATACTGGTTTGTCGTAATTATCATTTATATATCTATTATGATAATGGTTGATTGTGTAAATAGCAAATAAATGAGTAATTTATTGATGTGAGTGAGTTATACTTGTAGATAGAGCCTATTGCAGCTTCAGTAGTTTAGTTTCCTGTTTCTTTTACTCACAAAGTATTTTATCATTAGTGAATCTCATT